CGGCACGCGGCGCGTATCCCGAGCCCATCGCGTGGCCCGCTACTGTACTTCGCGAGAAGACCCTCGCGAGGCCCCTGCCTCGCGGGGCCTGCGTCAGCAAGCGCCACCAGGAGCCTCGCGACGCCCTTTCCCAAGGCGGTCTCGCGAGGTTGCCTCTCGAGGCCTCTTCCCTGAGGCAAGCAACTTGAAGGCTCTTCAGCCCGGTCGCACAGCCCTGCGCCCATCACGTGGGTGATGCGCGCGACGACGAAGGAAACCAAAGGAGAGCCAGAGGAGCGCCAGCAGGCGCGGATAAGGAGGATTTCCCCTTTCTTGTTAAGGGAGCAAGGCCATCCACCAGTTCCTAAGGCAATCCCCAAAGGTTGCCGATTCGGTGCATGAAGACCAGGACAGTGGGCGCGCCAGGGCGGAGGTCGTCACCGAGCCCACTACGCATCATGGGCGGTAGCTTTGCAGGCGAAGACTGCTTTTGTCAGGATAGACTACGCCCCTGTCCCCCTTCAAACTGGTCGTTGTGGCAACCCTTTCCGCCAAGTGTTTTCAGGGCAAAAGGACTAAGGCTAGTATAAAAGAGGGCAGGATGCCACCGTAGAGGAGGACTTGGCCCGGCGGATTGACTCTCTCTTCCCCACAACCCTTGTACTCACATCCTCCCTCGCGAGAGCAATCCAACCACAAAGCAGGAGTAGGGTTTTACACTGCAAGGTGACCTGAACCTGGGTAAACTGCCGTGTCTACTGTTCTTCTTCTCTAGTTCGTGTTGATCGGAGCGTAGTCGTGAGGTTGAGAGGACGTGAGGCGGAGCAGAGCGGTAACAACGAGCGCACCCCAGAGTTCAAACCTCTTGGGTCCCCGGAGCTCTTTCCGACAACAACTGTTTTATATAGAAGCTTCCTTTCACTTAGCCAAGTGCTTCGCCGAATCAAGAGATCTTTTCCAAGAGGATGGATCTAGCCAGGTCTTGTTGTCATGTAAATGTATGGATCTTTTAGGGCCTATTGCTAAGTCTCTTCTCCTTGGCCATGCCATCGTCGCCCCAAGCCCAGGTGAACTATTTATCATTTTGATTCCTTTACTCCAGCTCCCCCCTTCACTTTCGCTTCTCCTCCATGTACAGACCTCAAGCTGGGGGTTGGGAAGCACCATGGAGACAGAGAAGCGGCCACAATGCTCCGTGAACAAATACACATAGTTCAGCAGCAAGAAGGTAACTCATCTCTTCACCATATAATTTTTTGGAAATTGTGCAGCTGCAGGCATGCACTAATTTGTGATTTAGCACTTAGACTCTCTAGTTCAAAATTTGGTACTACCTGTTGATTGTGCTAGAGATACAGTACTAAAGTTCCTATAGAGGGCCAAAATCTTCCTCTCTGGGACTTCTATGTTTGTAACCATAGTGCAAGTTGGGGATTTTTATTCTGTTCAAATAAAATTACTTGCAACTGCATTCACACGTGTTTCATTATTTTTATGCATTGCGTATTCATAAGCTACTACAAAAGATTTTGTTGTGATGATGCAACGCATGATTTAATAATCTTTTACCCTACACATTTTACATCTGGTTTCATAAACATTGCGCTTTTCTCCACGTCAGCCACCTGGTCACCTTAACAAAGTCAATGGCTGTAAAGGATTTTGGTGGTGATTCTGGTGAAGGACTGAATGCCCAGTCTATCTCTATCAATTGCAGAACTGGAAAACCTCTCATCTGTTGAGTGATATTGATTTGTCGGGAGCTGTGGAAAGGTTTACTTCCCAATTTTAGCCACCTTCATGCATTTTAGTCGCAACACTTATAAAAGTGAATAAAATTTAGATCGATAGCTCAGCCGAGAAAATCCCTTTTTTGTCTCCTTTGATTTCTGTCCAGGCAAGGAACCATCTTGCACTCAGCCAGATTCATGTTCTTTGACTCACTTTTCCATCAAGGTAAACCCTTTGGTTCCCGTTCTGTCTTTGTTCAAGTGTCGTTCTCAATCAGTTTGTAGTCCATGTCTTCAGATCATGTACTCCCTCCGATCCAAATTAGTTGTAGCTCAAATGGATGTATTTAACACAGAAATACATATAGATACATCCGTTTCAGCAACGAGTAATATGGATTGGATGTAGGATTTTTGATATGCAGATCATATACTTTTAGCCGTATAGTTTACAGCTAGAGCATAACGAGCACTCATATTTGGATTATGTTCCTTGATCCGCCTATGTAAAACATTTTTATGTACTTGAATTTTAATTTTAGGATCTAGATAGATTGGCTCATGGCTTTATGTTGTCATATACTGGCTGCTGAAACATGGAATTGATATTCAACCAATTAGTCAATGCCCTTCATAGGTGCTAAGCAATGGACGTGGGCATCTTAATTCCTAAGCACAACACTTCCAGTCATTTTTATGACTCCAAGAATTATATGTACTATGCATGAGATTTAAATTTTCGAAAAAATAGGTCTATTTTACGATAGAACTAAGGGCCGAGCTAGGCGCAACCGGCCCAAATTTGGTCCACCTCACCCGCACACGGGATTGACTCTACCAAGGGTGCAAGCGGTGCGGGCTGCTCGCCAATCCCGCAAGGCCGGCCCGCTAAACACATCATAAGTGGGCTCCCGCGGTTGTACGCAAAAGTCAAGCGGGTTTATGCGGGGATGTCCGGCGGTACCCGCAATTTCCCAGCGTCCATGTACATTTATACGTTCAGCTAAAAAAATGTACATTTATACGTATGCTAACAACAGTTCTTCACTGGATACAAATTAAGCTGTAGAAATAAATAATTAGATGAATAGAAGATGTTGTAAGTGAAATTTAACGATATGAAAGAATCAAAGGAAATTAGCTGTATTGTCGTGCATAAATACAACTGCATCTTTCTTTCTAAATGTATGTCGCCGTCAAATAGTTTTAGAATTAACGCAAAAACAAAGATAATAGAGAATGAAATTTCAGTTTATGTACCGAGAATTGTAGGCAGTAGATCTAGTCCATTATGTCCTAAGATTTATACAGGATCTGAAATCTCACAACCATTTGATTGCATAAAGCAATAAAAAAAACATATCTGATGTAGTACTGATTCAGCAGGGCACGGCCTAATTTCTTTCCTTAGCAGAAAAAAAACACCGTATTAACTAGCATAGCAGCTTAATTGCTCATACTTTAAATTCAAGCTAATTTAGAAGGGCTAAACTTGTATGACAACGTATACACATAACCAAGCTCTGCATTGGAGCCTCATAAGTTACAAGAATCAGGAAAACCTAGAAATACACAAAACAAGAACCCTAGAGGTAGAAGACCATACCTCCAGCAGGAAAGCCAGCTTACTTCCAGAGAAGACTTCAGGTGGTGGGAGCGCCGCCCATAGGAGGCAATGCAGCAAGCGCTGCCGCTGGGAGGCTTCAGTGATGCAGGATGGGTATTGCCTCCTACCTCCATACAACCTCCTCTCCAACTTCCTGGACACCAAATCACTGTCCCTGTGGTCTCTCGCCACATTACCTTGGGGAACATGTTCAGAAAGGGATGGAAGTAATGCATGTTCAGCAAGTTAAGCCATAGATTAATTACTACAGGTGTACAGTACTAAATGCAGCACCACAGGGATCAAGCAATGAGTCGCAATGTAATTATCCCACAAATTAAGCATATTTTTCCTCCTGTAAGATGAAATCTATAGTATCAAATTTTAATGCAATGGACAGCCTCAAGATGAAGTGGACACATCAAATATACTCCAACGCATCAAGCATTGGGCAATGTTACAAGCTTGAATTGAAGGGAAAGAAAGAGTACAGGCTTGGTAGCTACAGAATTATGAAGTTCAGTAATTCCTTCAAACTAAAAGATATAGGACAGATGATTTGCAAAGTAAATAACATAAGAATATCATGCAAATCATATTTCAATTAGGAACGGAAGTGAACCGCAGCACGCGAAGGCAAACCCAAATCCTCAGTTGCCTGTGTCCTCTCCTCAGCAGTCCATGGATATCTTGATGGACAAACCTTGTCCTTGATCTCAGGATCCAAGTCACCACAGCGCCCACACACCACTCTGTCGTACAGAGATATCTCTGCCACATTAACCGCAGCTTCCACGACACACCTGATATATCGCACAAAGTTGTCATCAGGCTGGAAGCCGTAGATGGTGAGCTTAACCAGATTCTTGTGCTTGAAATTAGGGGCATATGGCTTCCACTTCACGTCTGCCTTATTGCAGAAACCATTTTCCTTCCGGAACTCTTTGTCAGTGAAAATTATGCACCAATGATCCCATACTGTGATGCACAGCTCTTTTAGGGAGGGAGCAGCTTCAAGGATAAACATTGTCCAAGCTAAATCACATCCTTCAGGAAGATGGTCCAGATTCACATGCTGTAGTTTGCTGAGCACAGGCGCAAGCAGTTTCGGGCATTCTGGGATAATCCAAATCTGGGATAGAAAAAAAACAATTTAAAACTCAGTGCAAGTTGTGGGGAAGACGCAAGTTACTATTGTTACATATACGTCATACATAAGGGCAAAGGACAGGGATGATTCAAATGACAAATGCATACCTTTTCACTTCTAAAATCCAGATGTAGTTCGCTTATGGAAGGAACATTAGCAAGTAGCTGACTTAACTCAATATTCTTTTCTGAACGGACGCCAATTTTAGTAAGGCTCAGCTTTGAAAGCTGTGGCACAAAACCAAAATACATGGGATCTTCACAAGAGGACCAATTAGTATAGGCCACATGTTTGAGTTTTGGTAGACATATCAGCTCAACTCTCTCAAACTGCCCATAATCAACCAAGAGCTCAACAAGTTGAGCATGCTCTACTTGCAGCACAGAATGGATCCCTGAGTCGCAATGGGTTAAACGCAAAGACTCCAAGAGCTTGCATGTGGTGAGGATGTTGGGAATGTCCAGTGCACCAAACCTCATATTGCGCAGCCACAGGCGCCTAAGGCCAGCAAATGCATTTGGACAAGCACAAACAAAATCATTGAACTGCTTCCCATGGTGGAGGAGATCGGCGGAAGAGCAGATCTTATAAGGCTTCTCTGTTACAATCTCAAACTCAGCAGCGTCAACCTTCTGTGTTGCCATGGCGCTGGCCACAGATTTGCCAATAGTGAGAGAGTCAGGTTGCATCAAGATAAATCTGATTTTGAGTTTGCTGATGGTGATCTCCGGGCTCCTTGTGGTCAAGATGTTATCTGTAACATGAGCCACAGCACTGTTGGTTCGAAACACGTCACTCAGGCTGAGGCTGGAAACACGAGCTTTATCATGGTAAGCTGGAATGGAATCAAAACTTAGGAAGAACTGCGAGAGCATGGTGGGTAGCTTAAGCATTTGCTTGGACAGGACGCAGACCCTTATTGCATCAAGCGTGTCCACCCTCTCAAGAATGTTGAGCAGTAGGTCATTGGGCAGCTTGCTAAGCCTGTCTCCTTCTCCATTGCCAGCACTAGCTTCCTTGCGAGCTGCTTTCTGCATTGCATTTAGGTGGAACAACAAATAATCAGCCTTTTGAGGACAAACACCAGGCACAAAAGAATTAAAACTTACATTGCGTCTGCGACGACCATTTTTATTCTTCATGGCTGATCGGATGAAAAACTGGCCTTACTGAAGTCGGAACGCCTGCCCTGATCGGATCAAAAACTGGCCTTATTGATGTCTGTGACAACCCCTCTTACTCCTATATATTAATTTTTTGGCCGGCACAACAACGATGTCGGCGAAAAATAAATAGGGGACGCCAACTTATATTCCATCGATGCACGGCCCCTCCTACTCCTCCCAATCCTCTATTTATTACTGAGGCCGGCTCTCCTCCAAAAGGGAGATTATTACAGGAAAGGGAGGAGGGCCCTGATTACAACTTCTCAACGGACAGACTCCGAATAAAAATTAATCCTTTTGGGCTGCGCTTGCCGCACAAACCGAAATCGATCTCCTTTCTGTCTGGACTGCAGAAGGAAATTGACTCTTCTTCCGCCTCCGGCTCCCTTGAGATTATTTCACCCAAAACGCCGCCAGGCATAATAGCACAGGCAGCGGAGGGTGGTTACGACACGAAGAGCGATTGCGGCCAGCAGGGTTGGTGGTGGCAGGCGGCGGAGAAGGGAGGGGGCGTTGCCGCAGGGGATGGCGGCGGCCGGGGAGGAAGGGTCCGCAGGACCGGCTAGGGTTCCTCTTATGCTACCACATCGTACGCGCGTTTGGGCAGTTGCCTGAACCTCATATATAAGCGTTCCGGGCCATTTATCTTCGGCCCAGCCTGAAGAATAGCATCTGAATTTATTCTTTTGTCAAAACAAAGAAAATGGAGTTTCCACAACTAAAAATAAAATAAAAATGAAGGTTCTTTTGAACCCTGATAAGTGTCATATATGTGACAGGCAAAATCTTATTTGTGCGGCGAATCAACCTGTGGTTGAGATGGTTAGGTGGACAGTGGTATCCCCAACCCACCAGGGTTCAAGTCCTCGTGCTCGCATTATTCCTGGATTTATTTCAGGATTTTCGGCGCTGCGCTTTCAGTGGGAGGAGACGTTCCCATCGACGACGAGGCGCCTGCGGTTGCTTCGTAAATCTCAAGATGATATGCCGGCTCAGTCTCTCGGTTAGAGCATCACTAGTAGTACCCTCAAACCTAAAAAATAACCGCTTTTTTACGGGTTGAAAAAAAAACGCAAAGACTAGAGCCCCTAAACCCGTAAACAATTTTAAGGGTTGGAGCCCGGGTCGCTCTCCCA